GGAAAGCAGATGTATTAGAACAGAGAAATTATTAAATATGAACACTTTAGGAAATGCAGAATAATTAACAATATTTTTAAGGTGTTCCATAGGCCAGTTTCTAAAAAAAAAACAAACAAACAAAAAACTAGTATCTACTAATGAGATAAAGTAATTTCAGAGAGCTGGTAGAGAAGCTGTTGAAGTAGAGAGGCAGTAGTCAGAATCCAGGACACATTTCAATATTAGTGGCGTTTCTCAGTAATAAATACAAACACAGTGAGAGCGGCAAAACACCTTTACTAATATAGAGCAACTGACAAGAAAAGATGGGCCATTTTTCTGGGGATTGGATATTCAAATAAATCCGTGCACTGAATAGAAGCTCACAGTTTTCCAGTTTAAAAGAATAAAAGGTGGAATGAGAGACAAGTTAATATGCAAAAGAAAATGAGACATTATTTCCACAACAGATTTTTGATGTTTGATATCCATGGTTCTGTATCTCTTAAGTAAACACAACTTTTCTGTTTTACTCTGAAGAGCTCAAGAATGTTGACTTCTTAGACATATAATTTAAAGTGGTTCATGGTTTCATTTCCAAAGAAATTATATTTTAAATGTTTCACTCAAGGAACTGTAGATTAGTAAGGCATGTGGGCAGAGACTGCTTTTCCCATCAACAGTTCAGAAAATGTAGAAAGATATCGATTTGTCACAGGAAAACTCCCCAAGAAACGTACCTGAGGCTGTGATTAATGCTGAGAGTGAGTTTCTTTAGACATTCCAGATGAGATCTCCAAAGCTCTGGGGCTACTAAAAGCAACTTTATCAGTTATTAGAGAGTGTCTGGAGATCAATGTCACTCAGCGATGGTGAACAGGAAAGAAGGACAGCCAGACACCAGTATGGTTTGGGTGCGTGAGCCATCCTGCTCAGGACTAACCACCCGCAGCAGGCAGCACTCAAGCCGGCTGAACTCGCCAAGCTGGAGTGAGGGCACTGCCTCACTGATGGGCTTAACCCCATTCCTCTGCACAGGCATATTCCCACAGCTCTCAAATTGTAAACTGGTTCATTCCACAGACATCAATTTCCAGTTATTCCCTAGATCAGAGTCTTTTCTTTTCTAAGCCTAAACTGCATCTTGTAACTTCTCAGCCTTTGCAGAACTGGGCCCTCCTTCATACCGGCCTAATCCCCTTGGTTTTTCACTTTATCTCCATCTCTTGTTTGTTGGCAGCTATTTTTTCCCCTGGGGGGCACTCTGCACTTCTTTCTGCACATAGAGGTCTCTGCTTGCCCTGCCACTTTACGTGCCCTCTGTTGGAATTTTCCATTTGCAGCCCATAGAGGGCAGCTTCTTGTTCAGATTGTGAGGATGAAAGAACAGCCTCCCTAAAATGTCCCTGCAGTATTTACTTTCTGAGGTCTTTGACATTAGATCGATCTCTACTTTTATTTTCAGTCCCAGAATGCTTTACCTCAGTGTGCCCCACAACTAAAGTAGATAAAATCGGGGGAAAGGCAGGACACAAAGTGCCAAGACGAGGAAGGAAGGGATGGGGTTGGGCCGGTCAAGGTCCTGTGTGGCAAGTGCTTGTTGTTCCTTACAGTGTCCCCCCAACCCCCAACCCCGGTTATACTGAGGTATAAATGACAAAATTTTAAGATATGTAAAGAGTACGATGTGATGATTTGATACACTGAAAGAATGACCACCATCTAGTTAATCGACACATTCATCACCTCACATATATATCTTCTTTTGGTGGGGGCGGGCGGGTGAGAACATGTAAATTCTACTCTCTTAGTAAATTTCAATTATACAATACAGCGTTATCAACTATAGTCACCATGTTGTACATTAGATTCTCAGATATTATTCATCTTGTAACTGAAAGTTTGTGTACCCTTCTTATTAAACTCTCCCTATTCCCCTACCTCACAGTCTTTGGTAACTACTTTTCTACTTTGTTTTTATGAGTTCAACATTAAAAAAAAGATTCTATATTTAAGTGAATTTATCTTTCTTTGTCTGGCTTATTTCACTTAGCATAATGCTCTCCAGGTTCACGTTGTTACAAATGACAATTTCCTTCTTTTATAAAGCTGAAAAATACTCCACTGTAAACATCTACTACATTTTCTTTATCCATTCATCTGTCGACGGACACTTAGGTTGTTTCCATACCTTGAGTACTGTAATAATGTTGTAATGAACATGGGAGTACAGATACCTCTTTGAGATAATGGCATATACCCAGAAGTGGGATTGCTGGATCACACAGTTCTATTTTTAATTTCTTGAGGAACCACCATACTATTTTCCATAGTGGCTACACCAATTTACATTTCCACCAACAGTGCATAAAAGTTTCCTTTTCTTCACATCCTCACCAGCATTTGTTATCTCATCTTTTTAATAATAGTTAAATAGTTAAAATAGTTTAATATTATAAAAGGTATGAGGTGATATCTCATTGTGGTTTTGATTTGAATTTCCCTGAAGATTAGTGATGTTGGCCATTTGTATGTCTTTGGAAAAATGTCTATTCAGGTCCTTTGGCCATTTTTTAAATGTTTTTTTTTTTCTTTTTTCTTTTTGCTATTGAGTTGTAGGAGTTCCTTATCTGTATTGATATTAACCTCTTACTGGATATGTGGTTTACAAATACTTTCTCCCATTGTGTAGATTGTCTTTTCATTTTGTTGATGGTTTCCTTTGCTGTGCAGAAGCTTTTCACTTTGATATAGTCCCACTTGTTTATTTTTGCCTTTGTTACCTTTCCTTTTGGTGTAAGATCCAAAAAAAATCATAGCCAAGACCCACATCAAGGAGCTTTATTCCTATGTTTTCTTCTAACCGTTTTATGCTTTCAGGTCTTACATATAAGTCTTATGCTTTTAGGTCTTACATATAAGTCTTTAATTCGTTTTGAATTGATTTGTGTACATAGTGTAAAAGGGGTCCAGTTTCATTCTTTTGCATGTGGTTATCTAGTTTTCCCAGCACCAAGTTTATTGAAGAGATTATCCTTTCACCATTGTGTATTCCTGGCTCCTTTGTTGAAAGTTAGTTGAATATATATGCATGGGTTTACTTCTGGGCTTGCTATTCGGTTCCATTGATCTACGTGTAATTTTTTATGCTGGTACCCTAATGTTTTGATTACTATAGCTCTGTAATACACTTTGAAATCAGGGAGCATAAGTTCTCCAAGTTTGTTGTTCTTTTTTAAGATTACTTTGGCTCTTTGGGGGTCTTTTGTGGTTCCACAGAATCTTCAAGAATTTTTTTTTTTCTATTTCAATGAAAAATGCCATTGGAATTTTGATAAGGATTGCATTAAATCTGTAGATTTCCTTGGATAGTATGGATATTTTAACAATATTCTTCAGATCCATGAACACGAAATATCTTTTTATTCATTTGTGTCTTCTTCAATTTCTTTCATTAAAGTCTTATTTCAGTGTACAGATCTTTCACATCCTTGGTTAAATTTATTTATAAGTCTCTTATTCTTTTGTATGCATGTACAGTGTTTTGAACTGATAGGAATTTTGAAATCTGGCAAAGAGAGACCACCTTCATGGGTCACTTCACCTCAAATCATCATACAGTGCTTATATCTGAGAAGATTCTCTCTAAAATTACCACCTTAATTTGATCTAAAGAGAAAGTGCCACTCAAACCTGACCTACTTAGACCAAAGTCTCACTTGCAAACACTCCATGCTGGAGGAAAAGCAGTGTGCAGGCTTCTCAGCTCTCAACCGTGAGGAATCCTAGGTTACCCTGGCAATGAGGCAGAAAACTGCAAAGAGCCTGACCAGCAGAGCAGATAAAAGGCCAAAGAAAGCTCAACCTAATTTGTAAAATAAACAAGTCTATTTGATCTCATACAATGAAATAGATATAAATTTAATAAAAACTCTGGAAGAAATGTTCATGAGTATTTAATCTTTCTAAAAACAAGCCCTCTATGTTATAAAACACTGGCTACTAATTAACAGTGGAAAGTGCTTAGACTAATAAGGTTTACATCCATACAGTATTTACAAATAGGTCTTTTGTGAACATAATTCTTCCTTGACCTGTATTTTGTGTAGTCCTGATTCTTTGATTTCATGATTCTGACATACTATAGGATTAAGCTCTGGTTTTGTTTCATCATCACCTTTTTACTTTTTTATATCAATTACATTTTGATTTTTTAACATATATCTTCATCTGTTCATGCTTTAATATAAAGTGTTTTATCATCATCACTCCTTTTAAAAGAGGTACTAGGACTAAACTTAATAAGACAGGATTTTAAAAACAGAAAATGATAACCAGGAGACAAAGGGTGCTTTGACAGTAAGTCTAGTTTTATGCATGAAAACAAACTAAAAATAGAAGTTTAAGTGGGATTTTATATTTTATGTTTTCAATTTTTAAACAGTTACTTTACCCAGAACCCCTGAATTGTCTACAAATACCATAGTTCTGACTAGCTTATTTTTAAAACTTCATTTCAATAAAGACAACTGGCTAAGAAATGAAACAGAAAACACCCAAAATGTGTAGCCCAAGCCCATTTTGGAGGCATTTAGTGAACAAAAGTCCCTCTTGGATACTAGGCAGGCTGGTCACACTTGGCCCCGTATTCTTAAATAATGATTTGCTTCTGAAATTTTCCTAATGGTTTTGCAAGGTTCCATTTATACACACAGTAATCCAAACCAATTCTAATCCAGCAGCATTTTTCAAGTAATTGAGAATATATTTTTCAAATACAATCTATGTATAATGCCATGATTAAGGTATAGTAGCGGGAAATGAAAGCTTAACGAAACTTTACTGAAACATAATTGAGAGTCTGCATGAAATCAAGATCACAGAAATATTTAGTACTGTATCTGTCTCTGTTAAGTTCTTTAAGGCACTGAACACTAAAAGCATTTACTATTAAAAAGTTGAATTCGTGATTTTTTTTGTTCTAAAATTTTTTACTCAAAATATTAAATGTGAAAAAAAATCTGTGTTAAATTCTTCCACATGTAAACCCTTTGTCATCCATTCAAAATGTTTTATATTTCATTTCTTTACCAAAAATCGTGTGATGTCAGATCCATGTTTTGATGCTAGAGATTGTCTTCGCACCTCGCTTCTTTCCTTGGCTTGTCTGGCAGTTCTCTAAAAGTTGAAAAAAAATATGCATATGTACACACATTAGGAAAAAAGTACTGGCCACAGACAGGAAGTCAAAAACTCTTTATATTCAGTTAGTCTGGAAAAAATCTATACTATTACTGCATGCATGTACCAGTGCTCTGCCATTAGGAGAGTTACCAAACTACAAGCAGAGGACCCAAGTAGTTCTGCTAAGTGCCCTGAGGTCCTAGGTTCACTTAGGAGCAGATGCTGAGGAGAAAACACGGCTTTGGGAGGTTGGCTTTCCACTGAGATTTGTGAATCTCTCATTTGGGGACTAGAGGAGGCCATGATTCTTCTCATCCAAGTGAGAGCTTGTAAGGCATCTTAGGATTTCCGACACTGCAGTGCATGCAAGGCCCATCCACTTCCTATTCTCTGGGCTCACAGGCCATTCCAAACTCAACAGCCAAACCAATGTAGAAAAACAAAATGAATTAGAACAGAATTGGATTCTTCTGCTATTCCCAAAAATAAATTTTTTCATGAGAATCTGAAAAAGTGATTACAGAAGGGGCAGCATTTTCTTTTGCTATATCTTAATTCTATTGTAGGTCTTGTATGTGCTAATAATTTACATAGCTGAGAAATCAGATGACTTTTTTCCCAACTGGAGTCCATGTATGTTTGAAGTGATCCAGGTGGAGGGGTGGGGAAAGCAAAGAGGGTTAAAACTGAAAACAAACAAAAACCCTGCCTATATGATGTAATCCCAGTTATGTAAAAATTACAACTGTGAAGAAATTGAGGAATCTAAAATAACAAAAGGAGGTTAAGAAAATGCTCATACACTATGAACACTGGCGAAGGATCTCAACAGATCTCAAAGTGTACATATAATTGATTAGCATTTTTAAAAACATCAAAGTCATTAGTAAAAATCATGGTGGGGCTGTTCTCCCGCCACATCTGCCCTAATTAGTGAGGTTAAGTGGGCGCTCTCTCGGTTATGGGTGGAGTTGGAGGAGCATAACGGAGTATAGTCCTTTGGAAAACAGCTTGGAGATAAATGTGTACAGCCTCGGTTGACTCGGTGATATTTTACATCTGAGAATCTCTCTGAAGGAACAAGCTTAAAACATAAAAAACAGTTTGTATATAAAATTGTGTGCTTGGTGACATAATGTATGAGAACAAAAAAAAAGTAAACAAGTTCAACATTCATCAGGATGAGAATGGCTAGATAACTACAGGAGAGATTTACTCACATTGTGAATGCTTATCATGGGAATGTAGAAATGCTTAAATTGTGCCAAAAATGTGCCGATAAGTGAAAAAAAGTTGCCTATTGAATATATGCTTCTTTCTAAGATTATCTCAATAGGTAGATCCAACTACTTTTTGCTGGATTGCCTATTTAAAATTCATCCTAGTTGATAAATAATACTATGCCATTTTTTCCCTCTCATTTTAAGCAACAGGTAATTGTGCCCAGGTTAATAGGTTTCATAAATGTGCCCAGGTTAATAGGTTTCATACTTTGGCCAGGAGTGCAATGTTTGCATGTTGAACTGAGGTGGTCTTAGAAATAATTTCATAATATTCTTAAGATATTTCAGGATGTCCTTAGCTGCAAATACAAACATATGTCACTGCCTCAATTCACCAAACTTCTAGTTTGGTGGTATGGGTCTCTTCAAAACTATGCAAATTGTATGCTGTAGTCATTTCCTTTTAGGTGGTGATGACAATTTCCTGGTCCTAGAATGAATTAGAAGAGAAGCAGCTTCTCTTCCATCTGTGACTGAGAACTCACATAGGCCTCAAGAGGAAACTCAAGTGTTAGGTGATGAAAGGAATAAAATGCATTTTGGATCCCAGACCAGGGATGCAGATTCACCCGCAAAATCTTCCACACCTGTATGCGCAATTTGTAATCAATGTCCCAGAATGGAGTCAAATGTGTCTGAGAGCTTCACTGACCTCTCTGTGACAGACTGTGCAGAGAGTCTGCAGGTTGTCCAGGAAGCACTGCCCTCCTCCACTGAACACTGGCTTGATGTGGTCCACCTGCCAGAAATGCCCTTCCGCCGGGTTTCTTATCATTTCATTAAGCTGCAACAAGAACACAAGATCAGCACTTCTAAACATACACCGTAGGAACAGGTGGTTTTGCATTGTGCAGTCATGTTCATACAGCAAAATCATAGGGGAAAATATATTAGGATGGCTTTTTATAGCTTTTTTTTATGAATAGAAAAAAGCCTCTAGGTTAGCAGTTTGAAAGCAATAAAATGTGTTTCTGAAAAAGTTTTGCTTCCCTTACCTAACCCATTTTGAAAAAATTACAAGCAAGAATAAAATAACCAAGACTCCTGACAAATTGGGAAAAATCAGTTGCTTTGAGCTCGTTTATATAGTCACTAAAACAAAACTGAGAGAAAAAGAATAACAGATTAGAAATTTTAAACTTCTGAATATTACTGACTTGAACAACCTTTAATTGTTGACCTCAATGCATTTGTTACCGTACCAATGACAGTTTAATATTAATAGCTATCACCTGGAACTTTCAAGCTATTCCTCTGGAAACCTCCCAAGTTACATGGACTGGTATAAAATTTCTAAAACAAATCTCTACAACTTGCATATTTTGAATAAACAGATGTCCATTTAAAGCAGGCATGATTTAGGCCAGTCTATATATATATATATACACACTTAATATTTAACCAATGATGACCTATATTAAAACAGGCTGTATTTTAACATTTTATCTAAGGTGGTAAAACCAGCTCGCAGCATAGCAGTGCAGTTGTTTAAATATCACAAAGGTGAGTGTGAAGGCTGTTTTTATTTCCTTGGTCTCAGACAAGGAAGAAATTACAATCTACTTCACAGCTGCCAGCCTTCAGAGGCTGTGCCATGGTTCTTCTAATGTAGTTTCAAGGAAACCTGTCAGACCTGTGAAGGGACCTGGTCAACGGTGCCCGGCCTGAGAAGAGCCCCAGGTGGCAGCAAGCTGGAACAGAAGACTTTGTCCAGCTGTGACTGATACTGCTAGAAGCAACTACAAATGGGAATCTTGTGCATCAAGTCTTGTGCATCCTAAGGAAAAAAAAACCATTTTGGTTCTCCCTTTTGTAACCAATTCTCTTGCTCGAATAGTCAGTCTCTGTCTAAGAGGCTCTATGATCCAGAAGGTGTTTTTTATTCTTCTTAGTGATTCTCTGGCAAATCACGGGCGGAGGGGGGCAGGGGAGGGGCAAGTCTTCAATATCTTAAATTCATCTCTTGAAAGAGTAACTCCCTCTCTGACTGGTCCTCCCAAACCTGAGCTCTGTGCTGCTCCTTATCCTCTGAGCACTTCTGTTTTAGGTCTATACTGTGTTACTTCTGCATTCCTGGACAGGCTGCTTTCAAGAGGCCTTTGAGTCCCTTCATTGTGTGTCTTCTGGAAGCCTCCACAGTGAGGCAGGGGACAATAAATGGAGTCTGGCTGACACCCCTGGGATGGGCACAATATGTCCCTCACCAATTAGACCAAAAGATATTTCAGGAACTCTGGATATCATTAAGGAAATAGTGTATTTCCCTAGTTCTCAAAGTCATGCTATTTCATCTTTGCAGAAATGCTTGTTAATTAATTCTGTCATAATTCAGCAATACTAGGTAAATTAAAATATATAATTTGACTAACTGGGAGGAATTTATTGCTATTTTAGTGGGCAGGTAGTGGCTCAGGAGTGATTTTTAAAAATTAAGCACACTATAAAATTACACATTTTGCTCTAGTTTAAAATTTAAAACTGATTAGATCACAACATTAAAAATCCAACTGTGTTTTGGAAATCAAAGTGAATAATGATGATAGTGTCCTAGGAATAACATTCTATCAAACTGCTCTGCTAAAATTACATTTTACAATGAATATATATGTTTCCTTCTCATTGTAATGAACTATATTTTGGGGGTTGGTTGTCTGCTTGTCCCTGGTCATTCAATATTAACATCATGAAAAGTGGAACAATCAGACCACAGGTACTTCTAGAAGCATGTGTCATCTGTTAAGACCTCTTTCCCAAATAATTTAATCAGAATCTAATTAAGCCTCTATATTTTATCACCATTACTGTAGAAATCAGGGGTATAGAGAAACATGTCAGATAACATCATGAGGATACACGCAGACAAATCCAGAAAGCGGGAAATCCTACATGCAAATTATCTAGTTTCTTCAACAATCAATGGTATAAAAAAAGGGATGGAGTGATACAGATTAAAGGGAGCGTAAGAGACATAATAACTAAAGTAGTATGTCGGTCATATTTTAATCCTACTTTGAACAAAGGAACTTCAAAAAGATGTTTTCGAGACAGTCTGGGAAGCCAAACATGGACTTATTATAATTAAGAAATTATAATTGTGTTGGATGTGATAATGGGTATTGGGGTATGTGATTATATTTCAGAGACAGAAAGAAAGAGGGTGGGGAAACTGTGAGATACATAATAAAAGAATTCAAGGAAGAAATGAAATGCTGTCTAGAATTTGCTTTAAAATAATTCCAAGAGCAAACAAAGAATTGAAAATGAAGTCAAAATGTTGATAACTTAAAGTTGGGTGATGGGTAGATAGGTTCATTATTCTCTCACTTTTGTATATATATTCAACAATTCCCACATTAAAAAGTTAAAAAAGGAAAGTGAATCAATATTAATCACTCAGTACGATGCTGCCTTCTATCTGTCATACAATTATAATTTACCTGTTCTAAAGGGAGCTTTGAAGTCCAGGTAACATCCAGAAGATTCTTCCGTTGACTTTTAGGAGCATCTCTCAGACGTAAAAAGAGTTCTTGAGCATTCATATTACATAGCTGACACACACCATGTTCAATTTCAAATACTTTGGCTCGCAAGTAACTGTTATTAGAACGAGTCCAAAACTCCTCCTGACATTTTAGAGAGCAAAACCGTGAATTCCAAGCATTCACTTTACATTCTTGCTTAGTTTGGCAGGTGGGTTGCTGACAGTGAAGGCAAAGTGGATTTCCTTCATTATTCACGGCTTGCAAATAGCCTTTGGATGCAGAAGGTTTCACAGTGAGATCAGCTTGAGCTATACAGGGATTTAGAAATGGGACACAGGCTCCATCTTCAAAAAACTTTCTGGAATTAAACAGAATATTGAATAGGTCACTAATGAACACTCACACTGGTCTAAAGAGTCATTACTTCATATAAAGGTCTTCAAAATTTCTTTATTGATAAACACTAAACATAGGACCCACAGATTCTGTGATTCAATGTGGAAATGAAATAGCTATAGTCAGCACTCTATACTCCATGCCAAATAGATGAAAGAACGGTGTTTACAAAAATTATTTTGAATATAAATATGCTGCCTCTCTTGGGCATTTAGATATCTTCAGGTTAAACAATCAGACTCTGGAACATCTGGAGAAGTTAGAAAATGCTTCTTCTAACTTCTTCTAAAAGCTGGGAAAGAACAGGTTAATGTGAAACCCCAAGTAATGTCCCTAAATGAGTTGGGTCACACAGCTCGTTAGGACAGGGAGGCCCCTTCTAAGGCTTTCGTGAACACTGTCTTCCAGGCTCTGCTGGCCTACAGGAAATAAAGTCACAACCATAAAGTGACAGAGCCAAGTAGCTAACAGTGTTGACAGAAATGAAAACAGAAGACTTGCTAAATATATGCCTCCTACAGGTAAACTCAGAGTCTGAATAAATTAAAATTAGAAATTAAACACGACAGCACGTGCTCAACTTGTTAGAATAAAAGGAAAAGGTATATGACTCAAGCATGTTGAAAAATCCTGCATGGGAATCACAACTGCTTTGGCTCATCTTCTATGGCTGCTTATTAGAAGTGTTTGTTAAAAGAAAAACTTATGGTAGAAAGAGCTCAAGATTGGGGGGCAGAGACCGTATTTGACCTCAGGTCTCCTAGCATCTTAGTGGCCTAGGGCAGGTCACTGGGTCCGCCTGTTCTCAGGACCATTCCTTGTCTCTAATTTCTAAGGTGAGAACATCACATGCCTCTGAGGGTTACTAGGGGGACTGAAGAGCTACTGATATTGTGAAAGCTCCTTATAACCTATAAAGTGGCTACTCAGAGGTAAAGTATTATTACAAAAATGAACATATTACAAAAATGAACACATAAATGTAAAGGAATAGTCTTAGTACTACTATGCCCTATTAGTAAGTAAATAAAACACTTTACTTTGTAGAAACATCCTGTGGACTGGCCTCCTTGGTGATCAGACGGACATGGCCCCCATCTTTCTTCACCTTGTCCATCGAGGCTATAGCAACATCTTCTTTGGTTATGTATCTAAAACAATTACATGGTTAAGTGGATTTCTTCTCTCTCCTGTAAGAGTTTCTCTATTTCACATTCATATTGCTCCTTGCAAAAGCGGGAGAAGAAAAAGCAAGGCATAAGTCTATTCATTGTGCTGATACTAAAGTTAGGGAATGAAATTTTCTCTCTGTACACTGGCCTCCAGGTGTGCAAACACATCTCTTCCACATTAGTTTTCTCAAGATTTATTTTTCTAAGAAATCAGGAGTCATTCAATATCCTTTGGATCAACTTTCACTTAGGAGAAAAAAGGAGTGGGTGTAGGAACAAGAAACTATCAAATACATGCACAACTGACAGCCATAGGTAAACAGCCTACCAAGCAGAGTAGAAAATGTCTAACTGCATTTTACCTCCCTCTTGGCTTTCTCTTCAAGGTTCCTCAAATCACCTTAATCAGTGTATCAGCCTTTTGGGTAATATGATTCTCTTTTTAGTTAAACAGGTTCAATCGCATCTTCTATAATCCCAAAGTTGTTTCCATTATTATCAGCCCATACGAGGTTTACGGAATCTTCCACAAAAGTAAAGCCATTCTTGATGTGGGATTCAGAACCTTATTACACAACACTATCAATACCACACAATGGTTTAGGGACTGGAAGTAAAGAGGAAAGTTATTCCAATTAAAAGTGACGGGGGAATTTAAGTAGGTGAAATGCAACTATCCAATTAATTCCTTCTAATTAGCATGGCCCAGTTTGTCTGATAGTTTACACCTATTGTAGTTTTTAAAAAATTAGTTTAAACATGAATTTCTTCCTATTTTTGAGTACTTCTTCATTTGGTAGCTTGACAATAAAATGAAAATTAAATCACAATGGGATTGTGCAATTGTAGGTAAAATTTTAGAAATCTGCTTTTTTCGTTGTTAAAATTGTTAAAGATTTAATAATTAAAAGATTTCTTTCTTTTTATAAACTATTAATTTTGATTAGGTGATACATGCACATATTTCAAAATTCAAAAGGTATGTAAAACAATAGTGTATATGGTAAAGAATAAGTTTCTATCCATTCCCATCCTTTTTACCTCTTCTGAAGCTATCTCTGTTTCGTTTTTAATATATCTTTTTAGAAATAGTTGATTTTTTCTGTATATAGGTTATATGTTTTATCTTTGTATTTATATTGACATATAACTCATAACATTAAGTTTACCACTTTAAAATTTACAATTCAGCGCATTTTAGTACTTTCACGAGGTTGTGCAGCCACCACCAAAACCAACTTTCAGGACATTTTCATCACTCCCCATTACAGTTTTTACTATTAAAAACAACTAGTAGTATGATATACACACTAATTTTCATCTTGCTCTTTTTACCCAAATATACATCTCGGAGATCTTTCCATACATAGTATTAACATAGAGTTGCTCTACTTTTTTAACGGTTGCATGTTATTCTATTATTTGGATAAACCATAGATCTAACCAGTCTTGGATTAATGGGCATTTTGGTTGTTCCAAAATGTCTCTGCTATCGCAAATAATGCTGTCACAAATAATGCTGTCACAAACATCCCTACACATGATATTTTCTACACATGAAGTAGATATTTCCAGAAGTAGAAGGGCTAGGTCAAAAGTTTTCGGTGCTTTAAATTTGGATAAATTTTGACACATTGCTCTCCTTTGAGTTTGCGCCAACATACAGGCCAACCAGCAATGAAGGAGAGTACCTGTTTCTTCACACTTTCACTAGCACATGGTACGTCAGTTAAAAATTTCTCTGCTAATGGTGATAGTTATCTCATTATAGCTTTAAATTTGCATTTCTTCTGTTAAGAGTAAGGGTGATTGATTGTCTTTTCATATATTTGCATGTCCACTGTGTGTCTTTCTTAAAGCAATAAAGAATCATTTTTACTTGCCCTTTTAGTTTGCAAACTCTTCCATTCCCCATTTCTTCAACCATTTTACTCCCCTGACAAAAACACTTCACTGAAGTATTTCAGTAGATTCTAAATGAACTCAAAAGCTTCCTAGCTGTGAGGGGTAAGGGGATATTAAGCCTTGCCTTAGGTATTATTCAATGTCTAAAGGCTTAGAAAGCTAATTCAGTAACTTTAAAAGATGCTGAGAAATCTACTCAAGAGATTTAAGAGCTAAAAATAACCTTTCCTACAAGAAGTTTAAGCACAGAATTTTGGAAACCATAAGAAACAGATCAATCAACTCCAAATAGGGGGTCTGACAACTTTTTAAAATAGTTATGAGTTCCAATATTTAATTTTCCATTGAATTTTGCTAGGAAGTGAATTTAAGTATACTAACTCAAAAGGATTATGGTAAATCCCAGTTTTGACAAATAGGGACAGGAGAATGTTGTCTATTAGGTAATTCCTGGATGGGGATGGGAGGACAGAATGGCAAGTTTTGCAGAAAGAGAGGAATGTGTTTTGGAAAGTGGCCCATGCCCCCAAGAAAGAACACCCCTGGACTGTAGGTTGCTGGCCTGCTCTGAAGACCGGCTGTGGCTGGAGGATAAATAGTTGGCATCCTAAACCCAGCATGGCTCCATGTGAATCTGACCTGCTTCTGACAAGTGGGAACTTAACTTAGGAACTGAAACCATGGCTGGTGCTCTCGGCTTCCATTCACATTTAAAAATGAGCTACTCAAAAGCTGACTGCGAGCTCTGAGCTTGGATGGGGCCTGAAAATTGGTGGATGTCATTGGAGGATAATCTTGTTAGAGATTTAGCCATTGCTTTTGGGGAAAATTCCTAAAAATCAGTATCTGTGTGTCTTTATTCTGAGGCCATTCCATTTTTTTCACAGATGAATCTTCTAATCCTCTGCCTAGGAAGTCAACTGTGGCTGCTGGTATTCTGGAAGCTGAGTGAAGAAAGGGGTATGAGAGTGTCAATTTCCAGTATAATGACTCTCCCTTTATCTCCACTGAGACTGGTGCCTCTGGTTCAGTTTCTCTAGAAAGCAAACTGGTAGGACAGAGGGCGGGAAAGGCATCCAGTGTCTAACTCTCCCCACACAAACTTCTAATCGGTGCTCTAGTGCAGTCCTGTCCTCCAATCCCATTATCAGAGACATAATTACTCCAATTGCCTGAGAACTAGTGGGGTTCTGTGGTGAGAATCAGCATGCTTCCTCAAAGTACTGCCCTTCTGCAGGTACACCAGGTTCATTTTCTTGGCTCTGCTAAAAGTCAATTTCCTGGAGCTCGCCCTCTCTCTCTACCTTTCTCTAGTCCTCAATCCACCCCCGCCACCTTCCCCGCCTGGATCTACTGCAATATCCTTTTACCTTGTGTGGTAGCAGAATTTTAAAGATATTTCCCTATAAGATTCCTGTCACTGGTATGCAATCGATCATTCATCTATGCAATGCTGTAAAAGGACTTTGCAGATATAATTAAGGTTACTGATCAGCCGACCTTAAGATGGGGAGTGAGTCCAAGCTTGAGAAAGTTTGACACACAATTACTGGACCTGAGGTGTAGGGGCCCATATGTTAGAACTAGAAAGAAGCCTCTAGAAGCTAAGGGTGACTCCCAGCTTCTAGAGCCAGCAAGGAAACCCAAGTCTTACAACCACAAGGAATGGAATTCTGTCAACAACCTGAATGAACACAGAAATGAATTCTTCCCAGACTGTCAGTAATAGCCCAGCTGGCCAACATCTTGATTTCAGCCTTACAAAATCCAGAGCAGAGAAACCAGTAGAGCCAACTGAGACTTCTGACTTATAGAACCATGAGATAATAAATTTGTGATAATTTGTTATAGCAGCAACGGAAAACTAATGCAACTTGTCTCCCCATTTTGAGTCTCGCCCTTTCAATCTAGTCTCACAACTGCCGCCAGAGTAAGCTTTTAAAAATAGACACTTGGTCATTTGCTCTGCTGCTTAGCAAGACAAGTTTTATCTGTAATATATCATCTACATATAATTTTATAAATAACACTGGGCATCTAACTTTGGCTTGTATAATTTTATGGCTTCTGCTATTACACCTAATTTAACCATCATTCTCAGGTGGTTCTTTAAGTGGTCATCCATGTCTGATGGAGAATAACAATGTGACATGTCTAGAAATGGCTGGAGTGGCAGTAAATTCAGTAAAGAAGGGAATTATGATCATGTAAAGAGATGACCAATACTTCCATGAAGCCTTTCATTATAAAAATGAGAAAATGGAGAGAACTGGAAGAAGTATTGAGAAAAATAAAATAGGCATCATGCTTTTTGTTATCTGTGTGTGCACATATGTATGTGTCGGTATGTGCGTATGTATAAACATACACAAATTTTTAATGCATTTTTATGTAAAGTAATACATGCTCGTGAGAAAAATTCAATCAATACAGAAGAGATTAGGCAAGAGCCCCAAACTGGCAGCTCATGGAAAAATCCAACTAGTCAAAGGGCTTTATTCGACTCATACAGTATTTTATTTTTAAATCTGAATTTGAATCACGTTGGATGGGTTATGCACTTTCCAATTTGCCAGTTTCACCTCTTACCCCATCTTTTCCTAGTTTTACACCTGACATCATTTGTTCATTTATGGTTCCTCCTTTGTTTTTCATCATATGAATATGTCATCCTGGCATAAAGTATGAAGTCCATGCCACCTCCACAAATTCCCCGATCTTATGGTCCAGAGCAAGAGTTCTCAATAGTGACCCTACTGACATTTTGAAATATAATTCTTTGCCTGGGAGTGGAGTCCTGTTCACTGTAGGAGTTTTAGCAAGATCCTAGCCCTCTAGCCACTAGATGTTCTCCAGTTGTATCCCCTAACTGTGAAAAACTAAAATATCTCCTAACTTTGCCACCCTGGGGGGTAAAATCATCTCCATCTGAGAACCACTGGCCTACAAAAACCTCTGGTAAGAGTTTCTAAGGTAAGAGTTTCTTTTAGATATTTCTATGTCAATAATAGCAATTACATATATTTGTATCTCTATACTTTTTCATACTTATTTTTACCCTTAATAATTTATCACAAGGATTCTTGTTCTGTCATATGAATATACCATACACCATATTTTGAAATAGCTAAAGAGATTTTTTACTATATGGGAACATAATTTATTCAATCAACCACATCCCTGTACATACCACTGATGTATTTTTTTTTCACCTGTGTGCATGGAAAAGGCCAGAGATCATAAAATGATGAAACGTGAAGATAGAGAGAGATTACAGGCGTATGGAGACAGCAAGAGCTAAAAGAGCTTTTCCTGCCAATGCGTCTGTTGGTGCTTTGTGATCTCTTCCAAAGTAAGAGACGGGCAGCTGACTACCTTTCCTGAAAATTTCTGCTTCATGCTGACAAAAGAGTCGACAGAGAATGGGGATTTGAGATCACGCAGGTTTACGATGGTTATGATGTTATGATGCCAAGAAAGGAAAGTGAGTATACAGAGATTAGAAAGAGACTTGTAATGATAAAGACAAAAAAGTTACAAACGCGAGACACTTAACTTTTCCTTTTGTTTCCAACCAGGGACATGATAATACTTACCTCCCACCACTTGTATCAAACAGAACCAGCACTCTGCTTCATGACACCGAAGATTCACGCCCCAGGAACACAGGGCAGACTGGGCCCAGGGGTGTGTTCTGTTCTAACAGTAAAATGTTTTCCTGTTGTTAATACGTGTCCCAGGCTTGAGAGGTCATAGGTCACACCTCTCTGTGACTCTGGCCTTTCCCCTGGTGCGTGAGATGCACGGTGAGCAAGATTCAGATAACTTAACTGTTTCCAGCAGATTTGATCAAATTCACAAAATATCTAATTATGTTGTTATAAAATAAGCTGTCATTTTATGTATAATTTTCTCTTAAATCATCAAGATTTCATTAGTCGTTCCATAAAATGTCTCAGAATGCCCCCTTCCCATAGAAATAATCATGTCAAGTAATAAAATACAAAATAAAAAGAGAAAGACAACTCATACCTTTTTGTACTATTTTGTTTGGTTTGTTGCTTTGTGATCTCTTCCAAAGCAAGAACTGGGCTGCAGAACAACTGCCCGCTTTTCCTGATTATTCTTTGCTTCATAGCAGTTAGACTATTCCACTCTCGAACAAACCTCAAAATCTGGCAGAAAATGAGAAAATCTTCCTTTGAAAGTGAGGCTACTTATAACATCGGAAAACTGATGTTTTTCTCTATCTCCAAAATAGGCTGTTGAGTTTCACAATGTAAGGTTTTCTTCAATTTGATGCAGCTTTCATATCTTTACTGTGAACTATCTATGGCCAGTTCTGCAGAATTCTCTTTCAACCTAGAGACTCTCTAAAAGCATGTACGTGTCAGGACAGCCAGGACAAGTGCTCAACACACATAAGGACCAACGGCAATAATGTGCTCACTGAGATCAAAGGAGGCCTGGCTGTTGGAAGTAGTGGCCGAGGCAAAACTGGTCTTGGAGACAGCAGGTGTTGCAGCAGTGACAATGACAGCGACAGTGCCACATCCGAGAATCGCTTTGTACCCAACTACTTATCACAGGAAAATAGCCATCGATAAATCTGGGACATTTTTTATTAGAGTACCATTAATCTTACTTATTAGTCAATTATACGTAACTGGCTATTTTCTGGGAACCTGAGAACAGGATTACATGATGCCAAAGAAAATAACTCACGGCTACTTTTTCCTTCAAGACAGGTACAGCTGGCCCATGGGCAATGTCAGATTTCCACTCAAAGGGCAAAAAAAAAATGATCACTATTTTCTTGTAAAAAGTGGTACACTGCATGCTGGGTCAGTCCCCACACATGTTGACCCCTGTTAGCAGTGAAGGTAAATTGGCCTCAGTCGGAACTGAGGCTTCCCTGGCAGGGACTTGGCCTGCAGCCGCATGCTGGTGTTTCTGACAGTGAGGTGGGAGAAGCCCAGCACAGTCTTATCCCTGCTCTCAGGATTTGTCTTTGTTAGAACTTAACCTTCAGAGATAAAATGTGATGCTGTCAGATACAACTATCACAGTTTTAATCCTGTGAATGAGAAATTAAATGATGTGCAGATGATTCTATCCACAGAAACAGCAGCTCTAGGTGCAACCGTTCGCCAAGGAAATGGGTTTCACACATTCTCAGCACTGGGGTAATGCATAGGCACTGTGACCAGTGACTGGATTCTGCAACAGGCCACAAAGTACTCTACTTTTATTAAACTCAAAATGGTCATTAAAATTACTCAAAACATTTCAATCTAAAACTAATTCACAGGACTCTTCTTACCAAGGAACGATTTTGTTTCAGCTGAAAGCTTGCTGGTAAATCCTCCCACAGGTCTAATTTTATATCCAAAGGAATGAAATTACAGTTCATCCGGTTTCCATCCTGATTATAGATTGAGAAGACATTATTAATCCATTTTGTCTGTAGGCACTAGTAATTATTTTAAAAGTAAAGCATTACATATGACATAACATCTCCAGTCTCCTCAAAGATAAACTGAGGTAGCACATTCTAGACAAGACTGCACCCCAACATCTCCCTTGAAAGGATGCTGAGTGGAGGAGCGGGGTCAGGCTCTCCCCTGCCCCCTGAATGCCTCCCCTGCCTTTACTGCTAGGGGTAAAAATATCACGCAGAGAGGTGTAGTCAGCTAAACACAAGGTTTAAAATGAAGTATTTGTTTTATAAAGGGGAAGAAGAATCTCTGCATATAAAAATCTATTGTAGCATCACTAGTTGAACCCCATATTCTAATTCTCTCAGCCAAAAAGAAACGCTACAGCTCCTACTGGCACTTTGGCAAAAAACACACAAAAAGTAATTACATGTAGATCAAAAGTTTACATATAGACTTGTTATCCTAAACTCTGAATTAGACCTGGACTTCTGACTGAAATGAATTGTTCCTTAGAGTTATACTGTTAATACAACACAGAATGCTAAAATATCCATAACTGCTCCTCCTTTAAAGGGGTGTTCTTTTAGGCAATGAACTGGGTTTTTATTCAAATTTCTATTTCCAGATTTTATTTCAGCTCCTCTAAGGTAAAAAGGTAAGATTTCACCTCTACTGTAGCTATAAAAAGACCTGTTAACATTTCATCTGCTTAGTGTCTCAGGCTGAGAAAATTAACTGAATACTGTTTTGTGGTAAAGGCACATGTAAGTATTTAGAACAGTCATTAAAATGCACTTGAAACTATAAGAAACATGTCAAGAATGTGAGGTGGCCCATGCTACACAGGCTGGGTGGCAGAGACAGAAGATGGCTCAGTGAGGCTGTCACTATATTTGGCCTGGCAGTGGGCACACTCTACCCTCTACTGGGAGTTTTCAGTTTCTCCCCCATCTCTACCTAATGGGGGATATACACTAATCATATAATTTAGGATACAAACCTTTCAGTGTACAGAGTAAAAAGTTTAAAGTGTTTAAGGGCTTCTGAATCCCTATGTTGTGCTCTGCCTGGTGTCTGACATTTGGCTTCTTGACGTTCAAGCCCATCTGGGGACCAGTTCCCTATTACTCTCCTGTGATAATCTGAGAAGCATAGCCTGGAGCTCTTTCCCCATGGGATGAGGGTGGCTCAGACACTCTAGATGAGCAGAGTGGTCCTTGGTGCTCCTCTCAGTTGTAGAAGCTCCACACGGTGGGCGAAGCTCAAGCCTTTAAGGGGAGCGCTGTTGGCTGCCTGGCTTTACTCTCGGTGTCCTTCTCTTGCCCATGGTCCCATGATAGAGGCTGTGAATTTATTATGGAGGCTGCTTGGGGATTCTGTATTCATGATCCTAGCCACCTCTTAATCTTCTAACAATCTCTTCTAATTTTCAGTTAGAACTGAAAATCATTACAGGGTACACTATCTATATCTATACTTGATGTAGGAGAAAACATGTAACTGAGTTTGGGCAACTCCAACATAAGTTGTTTTAAAAAAGGCATTCTCTCAATAGGATGTCCCATGAGTTCGAAAAGCTGCAAATATCATTTTAGTACAAAGATTAAAAATTTGAAACTATAGAGGGAGAGGGGAGGTAGATGGGATAAAAAAAATGGTCAAATATTTGATGACAGAAGGAAATTTAACTTTGGGTTAAAGTGTTGTACACTCGAAACTTATTTGATTTTATTAACCAATGTCACCCCAATCAATTCAATAAAAAACATTTTTCAAAAAAATTTTTGAAACTGTAGATCATACAAATGCATTTGTAATCTCAGCAAATTTTTCCTTGAATATTCACACTAGTTTACATAGGCTAAAGATTCTCACATGGTCCCCAAGATCCTTTTAGGGGATCCACAAAGTCAAAAATATTTCTGTAATAATAGTAAAACATTATTTGTCTTTTTTTATTCTTATTCTGTCATGACTGTACAGTGACATGGAGAGGCAGATAGAAGAATCCCAATGTCTTCTATTAAGACTTTAGAGAAAATTGCTAAAAATGTAAATATTTACTAAATATTATTTTTGTTTTGGAAAATAGAATTTTTCATTAAAATATGCTATTGATACAAATATGTAGATTTACATTATTGCTACTCTTAAATAATTAAATGAATATTTTCCATTTTAATTTCACATTTTCCATTTTACATTAAATATGAATAGAGCTACATAGAAAAAATTTGTTGGGGTCCTCAACAAGTTTTAGGAGTGCAAAGAGGTCCTGAGTTGAAAAAGTTTGAGCACCACTAACCTAGGCTATGGCAGGAATCTGAGCAATCTACTATTAAATCTTTATAGAGTTTGATGAACATGATGGGCAGGCTGAGGCTTCTATAAAGATGCTACTTCTGCTGCTGTTACATGATCAGTGTAGGAGCTAACATTTAATGAGAGTTCATTATGGCTAGGGACTATGCTAAGTGCTTTACAGGAATTAGCTCATTTTATCTTTACAACGACACCTCTCTACATTCTACAGCTGAGACATTGAGGCACCAGGCAGTTAAGTGATGTGTCCGAGATTCCACAGTTAGTAACAGATTTGAGCCGAGGCCCTCTAGCCCCAAAGTCACTGCTCTTAGCCACTTGGCTGTTTTGCCTCTTTGGTTCAACATAAGAATTTGAGAATTAGGTTTAAGGAGAAAAGGAACTAGATGCCAATGTCTTTGCTAACACAATTAAATATCTCCATCGAAATATAAATAAAAGAAGCCTTTTGTATGTTTCAAGCTACAGAATCCACATGATGCTTACCTTAGTATAGAGGTGAATCCGGTCAGTATTCTTACTTGCACAAAATGTTAAGGTATCATACACTGGCAGAGTGTCTGAACTCTTCAACTGTTCTAATAAAGACGATAAAAGAAAGCCTCTGTCTAAAATAGCTTATTTTAATCTTATGCAGATAAGAATGATGAAATAGCTAGATCAAATATATCAACATATGTGACAAAGAACACGTGTCTGGGTTTGAAATAAGACTTTCACGGTAGGCCATCCAAGGACACATTGGTTTGTATAGGTACCAGTTGCTTTGCGCTTTTGCTAATGACTCAAAAAGAAAGAAACAAATTTAGAATTAGCTGAGAAGATACAAGTTAGGTATAAGGGACAATCTCCTGCCACCAAGAATTAAGGAGTCTAGAATCTAGACTTTTGCTAGAGTGGAGTAAAGCTGAGACTGAATGAGCACCATTTTGATTATCAGCAGCAACACAGCTATGTCGACGGCTACGTAGGTGCCTCTCAATCACAAAAGGAAGCGAGTTGGTGAGCTTCTTTTCTGATAATCTCTTTTCATTTATTCCCTTCTCAGTTCCACTGACCAATATATTCTGCAGGAATGATAACGCAGGTCTAAATAATAATTATAGTTAACACTTACCAAGTACTTACAATGTGCCAGGCACTAGTCTAAGTACATGTTAACACCTCTCAAAAATTATTGCGTTATACAGAGGAGGAAACTGAGGCACATTAACTTGCCTGAGGCCACACCATTAGTAAGAAGACCTAAGCCCAGTAATCTAGAGCCCGTACTAGTCACCTCCACCATCATTCCTAAGTGACCTTTTAAAGTATTTTCCCAAATCTAGAAGTCTATGATTTGTTTGCCATTCTATTTGGCAATATCAGAGTATTTTTATTTTTCTAACCAAGACACTGGTCACTTTACAAACGTGGTTTGTGAATTATTCCCATATTTCACAAGTTCGAAAATGTACATTTTCCCCACACGTTAACATCTCTGAAACTGGAATGTCTTACGGTCAATAACTATGGCATTTTACAGTCATTGTTGACCAGGTGGTGGTTGCGAAATAGTTGTCACTGAGTGACCACGCACGAGCTGTCATACAAGAACACTGTTGTTACTTCGACACTACACTAGAGGTCCATGCAGTATTGTTACTGCGTGTGTTGAGTTTAATTACCTTTAAAATAGTTTCAAAATGTTTCACTATGATTTGATATTGAAATGTTATCACGTATACAAAAAAACAAATACAAAAACAAAATTGGATACAGACCAGGAGAGCATAAATTGACATTAAAGAAGCAAATGTGTATCACTGGAGGAATAATCAAAATTGTTTATATTCTTGCAAGTGAATAACCAAGTGCTTCATGGGACCTAAGAAAAGGAGATCCATGCAAGTAGAGGAAGCTGCCTAACATTTGGATACTGAGATGTGCAAAAGGGTTGCCTATTACATGCCAAACTGCAGGCAGGAGAAAATGCCAAATCCCTCAGAACAAATGAAAGAAATATTGAAGCAACAGAGGGTGGTATGACATGGTCTGGGCTATCATTAAGATATTGTGTCGTATTTTAATTGACAGAGTTTTTTCTATCTCAATGTATATAAAATAAGTGCATCTCATAATCATTGTGTCTTCAGTTTTGAAGAACTATGGTTGATGCACTAATGCATAAAGATCAGAAGTTATTCTTCAATAAAAAGCATTAAAGGAACAATTCCAAATCAGCTGATAGGTATTCTTGGTAGCTACTAGCTATACTGGGGAACACATTTCTCTTTTCATTGTTTCCATGAATGATAATTTAATGTTTCGAGTGTACAGACGATGTCTTTTGAAGATAAAGCCACCCTTCTGGAACCCCAGAATTCCAAAAATACAGTTCCAGTATAGTACATACAACTCTAATTCTAAATAAGCATAGGTTGGTAGAATAAACATTTTAACATTAATGTGCCTCCTCTGTCTTTAATCTGTTTGTTTTTTTTTTGGAAATCCATGTTAGTGGGGAGAAGGGAAGCATATAACTTGTATGGAGTTTTTAGTTCAGAGATCTGAGAAGTCAAATAAAGGAAGAGGGGATACACAGGTGCACGGGCAAATGCTGGCATTGTCTGGAATGGATGAGGCAAATTTCCCCGGCAGAACAGAATTTCTATAAGTCTAGTGAGTTTTGAAAAATATTTGTAAGTAAAGCTAATATACGTCTTGATCAAGGGACCAATTTACAACAAACAAGCCGGTATTTCCTTGCCACAGATGAAGAGGCTCATGGCCCAGTTGATGACAACTGCCAGCTGTTAATTCCAAGTGTGATGCTTAGTGCACTGAGCCGTATGCTGTCGGACAAGAGCCTCATCAGCACTTGGGGGATTGTCACAGCGGGAACCAGGAAACTAGAGACATAAATGGTATGCTCCACCTGAGTCTAAACTGTCTCCTTAAAGGCCGTTAAGATAAACAGACCTAAACAAGATCCATTCCAAGATATTCTTTGGGAAGACCTTGAGGAACTAAAGGAAATGGAAAGCTGAGGGAAGAAGAAAGGAGGATGCCCTGAGCTCAAGAATTCTTAAATGAACATTTTATTTTAAAGCTTTGAGTCTGACTCCAAACTTGCTCTCTCTGTTTAAAAGCAACTAATTTGGAAGAAAAACTACAACAGTCCCTCCCAGCAATTTTTAGGTTGTTATAATAAGAACATCAATCTGTGGGTTACCATGGTCACTAAATGAGTAACAAAGAAAATAATCCAAAATTACTCACACTCTCTTGACAGCTGGCCCATAAAGATAGTGATATACGGCATATAGACTGATATCTGCCAACCATCACAGTGCTAAATAATGAATCGAGTCAACCAAAAGGTAAATAAATCCAAAATACTACATCGTTGGCTCCAAACACAATCATGATTCATACAGTCTTTCTTTAAAATTAAAATGTAATTAATATAAAAAATTATACTAATCTCAGGTGTGCAACATAGTTGTTCAACATTTATATACTTAACAAAGTGATCGCTAAATTCATATAGTCTTGAAATTATATTCCTTAAAAACATTTTCTTAAAAAAAACCCCCAAACCCTAAATTTAAAATATGCCAATTAATTGTAGATATTTTAAAGAAATACTTGTGTGAAGGATTAATGACCTGCTAAGTGGCTGTTAATAAACTGTCAATCTTACTATTTGGTCCAAAAGAACCTCTCAAATAATCAAAACCATCCCTTCACTGTGTGAATGGGCCAGGCTTAGATGAAGCTGGGCAAGAGGCCTGGGGTAGCACATATAGCTATGCATTTCTTCTGCTTTGTGTGTGATGTCTGAATGCCAACAGCTTTCCCTTTCCAGCTACCTGATGTGTAAGTATGTGGTTAGAAATGGTTGTTATTTTTTTTTTTTTTAAATAAATGGGAATACAAGGAACCCAGAAGCAGATAGTAATCACAAATCCACTAAGAGTATTATGTGTCTAAGCATATGGTTATTATTTGGTCGCTGGAAATGGGAGTAAGACTTACCATCGCTTGGCTGGGGTGTGAGTCCATCTTCATTCTTGACTTCTGATGCTTCTTCCTTACTCTCAGCCAACAGTTCAGGTTCTGAATGTGCAAGGACTTGTTTTTCACAATCAGAACTAGTCCAAACTTTTTTGGAGGTGTCTTTCTGAGAGTCATCTTTTTCATTTTGGCTTTTATCCTGGATATAGTTGAGGCTATCTATTTGTAGAATTATAAAAAATCAAACAAACAATTTACACATACATTTAGATAAGTTATACTTACACTAAATCCAGCTTAAAAAGGAAAGTTAAAAAAAGGTTATAGCTAGGTCTTATAAAAAGAAAGTTAACAACGTCTGCTCATTCTTTGGAAACATTTATTGGGAGTTACTCAACGCCAAGAACTACCCTAGGTGCTGGAGGGGAAGCAAGGAACAAGACAGATAAGTCTCTGCTTCCTGGAGATTCTATTCTAAGTGGCAGATATAGACAATAAAGAGGTGAACGAACAAACAAATAAGGTCTTTTCGAATAAAGAGAATAAAAGAGGGTTTTATGAGTAAGGGGGATGGGACAAGACCAAGCTCTTGGAGGAGTCCCATTTGAGCTGAGAGTTGTTCATGAATCTAGGAAGCCTGGCCCCAGGGCCTGTATTCTTGGATTAGATTCTAAATGTAACTAGAAGCTACTAGATGGTTTTAGGCAAAGGAATACACTTGCCTAAGTTTTTAAAGAATCACACTGGCTGCTGTACAGAGAAGAGCCACAAGGGAGAATAGGAAGGAGGCTACTTAGGTCTGGGAGAGAGAAAATGGTGGTTTCTGGAGGGGTAGCAGCAATAAAGATAAAGTGGCTAAAATCAAGATATATTTTGGAGGTTACACCAGTAGAACATGACGGATCAAGTGTGGGAGAAGTGAAAGGAATCAAGGATGCTGCCTAAATTTTTAGCACAATGTCAAGAACATAGGAAAAGAGATTTGGGTGTTGGTGGTGAATCAAGAATTCTATCTTGGATGTGTTAAGCTTGAGGTACCCATTAGACAACATGCAGTCTGAATTCAAGTGAGAGATATAAGTCTGGGCATATGAACTGCGTTATGTCAAGTATAAACTATAGATATAAGAACAAAGCACAAGAGAAGTGTCACATATTGACAAATATTAGTGTTCAAGGTATACTATACCAAATTTTATCTAATGTACTGGAGCCTCCCTTAGCAACCCTTACAGGACCATAATTTCTTAATATTGTTCCCTTAATTTTCTTGATTCTACCATTTCCTCAAAGTGTTATATGGCAGGCAATGACTTAAAAATTTAGATGGATTAGAATTCATTCTGCTTTTCAGCTTTTGGGGTACATCCAAATTAAGGTTGGAAATCACTGTGCCAAACTAATATTAATCTAATAATTACAACTTTTATAATACTATCACTGTTACTCAGAATATATATTTCTCTTTAATCTGACTGTTTCATATTCACAAAAGGTATTGTTTTTCTTTAGGTTGCTTGGAAGTGTGCTTATTAATCAAGAGTCTGGAAACTTTCTCTGCAGCTCTAGGTATCACAAAGAAAATCAGAACTCTAAAACCCTATTAAACTATAATTTCTGTTGCTAAATCGCTCAACTTATATACTTAATGTGAACTGACATAATTTCATAGTCATGAGATACTTTATTTTTATTGCATATAGCAGTTGGAAATTGAATGAGATAATGCAAATTGTGTGAGAGAGTATATGGAATAAGCTTGTGGTTCCCATTTAGTTCAGAGAGACAACAGGTGTCCGCGTTACAAATATAACCACCCAGATGGCAGACTTGTCAGTTTTGGTAGGAACACCCAGAAGTGAAAGAGGAAAGACTCAGCTACTGATTACATTTTCTTTCACATCAAAACTAAGGCAGAGGGAAGCAAGGCAGGCAGGCAGGAACAGCAGTATCAGAGCTTAGATCTTAGCTGAGTCTTTGTTAACGTCAATGCTCCAAAGAATTCAGATACGATGGAAAAGTAGATATGTATAATTATTACAATTGATAAAATAGAACAACTTCTTCCATTTTCCAAAACTGTCAACTTAGCATTTTGAGTTACTATAAAAATGGTCTCTCAAACCGGAGAATTGGAAACAGAAGGAATACTAACGATCTTTTTCTTAAGATGACCACAGGTATTAAAAATTGTTTCAAAAAAAACATCAGAAAATGGCAACTTATGCTGTAAAAATTACTCTGAAGTATGTTTATGAGTTCTACTTTTAAAATAGCATGTTTTGGAAAAGAATAAGCTCATAAAATAGATACCAAATTGGTCCTTAAGAGATTTATAAAGGAATTTTTATGATTTGTCATGTAAAAAACATGACACAGTGTATATTTTACTAAGCAAAGAAGCTACACTGGATTATTTGATTATCTGAACAAAAATAATCTATAATTTCTTAAAAAACAAGTATTATCTACAGAGTAAAGAAAACAGCAGGTCTATGACTATAAGGCATATTTGCTGCCATAGCAACGGAGCTTCTATTCCTGCCCACTGAATTCACATCCTGCTGGCATTAATCAGAAATGTCCATTTGTGCCAAATTAACGCCATGTCACAGATGCTGAGGGATATACATTCTTGACAGAACTGGGAGCCTTTCACATTCCACAAGGGGATAAATTCAATTCACTGTGTGAAGAGCTTACTCTAACTTAAAAGCTAAAGTCAGTGATGAGTCACATTAACCTCTGATAACAGCAGTTGTCTCTAAAAGCACAGGTTACCTGAAGACACCACTGTCAGCCCCCTCTGTGTACTCACCAGCACTGCCTTGAGGATTCTCACACATTTCACAATAAGGTAACATGGAGCTATTGATATAGGTGCAGAAGCCACACTGCCAACCCTTTCCAGGAAGGGGAGGGCTGGTTGCCGGGGCTAGAGCTTGGGTTTGCCTGGGCCCGGATGGTTTCTCCTGTGGGAGACTGCAGTGGTCATCGGTGGTGACTGACTTCAATCTTTTAGCCTCAGGTTCAAAACTGTTTTCGTAATCAATGATACCTCTTGTAGATATTTTCCCAGAGTCTGCTGGTGCTACAGTATTTTTCTCCTGGAATGTCCTTGGTTCATCACAGGAGGTCACCAATTGACTTTTCTTGGGTTTTGGTAAAAAGAATGATCGAATATCATGCTGTTTTTCTTTTTCAAACTAGGAAAAACAAAGAGTTATTAAGAAGCAATCTAACATGTCCTTCCTAAAAGAAAAAGCTTAACAAACTGTTTTCATTAACCCTATCTTTTATCTTTTGAATACCTTGTTGGGAAATAAATGGGCTATAACTCCTCATATACATGCAGATGCAGAACACCATTAACACATCCACGCACTTCCCGTGCCTAACTTTTTTTTAGCGCTTGTGATATGCCAAGCACTTTACATATATTAAGTCATTTAATCCTCATGCCAGCTCTGTGAGGCAGGTACTATTATTCTTCCTATATTTCAGATAAGGACACTAAAGCTTTAGAGAGGTGAGTTAACTTGGTTCTAGAATAGACTTGATAAACTATCTGCTCTAGATGTACGTTAGGGAAAGGAGGCAACTATGTGTTTAAATATTTCAGGTCAATCAAGAACTTAGAAAAATGTTTTCGCGCCCAAACTATAAACACAATGTTCATAAACAATGTTTCTTACACTAAAATGTTTGGTTTTTTTTTTTTGACTAGGGAGCATTTTTCAAATAGCACTAAAGCCATTAATTAGAACAGCTTCTTTAATGGACACATGATGATAATTATCTTGTTTTTAAGAAATATGTTTCTCTTTTCTAACAACAGCTACATAATTATCTCAGTTTTTAAAAAAAATCTTCTTTTCAATGTCTAAATCTCAACCTCTTAATTAGAGAAAGTAGGATACCTATCTCCACAACTGATTAGCTAGCAGTTAAGGGAAGTTAAAGGAGTTGATTTTAGAGAAGTCCTGCTAGGGCCTGAATTGGGTACCACGGTGAACACACACCGCAGCAGACTGCATTTCCAAAAATGGCCACACCAATTTTTATCTCATTCCACATGTTCTTCTTACAGTGTGACAATGACATACCTACATGTAGAGGCGGGGTCTGTGTTCCTCTCAGTTGAACCTGGGCGGACCTTTGTAACTGTCTCAATCAACAGGATGCAGTGAGAGTGATACTATGTGACTTCTGAGGCTAGGTCATTGAAGGTAATACTGGCTGTTGGCACTCTGTCTCTCTCTTTCTCTATCTTGGGATGCTTTCTTTTGAAGCCTAGCCATCATAATGTGGAAAAGCCCAGGCCACATGGAGAAACCATGTGTCGATGTTCAAGCTGACAACCCCAGTAGGCTCCCAGGTTACAGCCATCGAATGCCAGACATATGAGTGAATGAGCCTTCAGATGTTTCCAGATCCCATCCTTGGGGTCTTCTAGCAAAGGCCTCAGTCATCGTGGAGCAAAGACGTGTAATGTTCATAATACTCTGGCTGAATTACTCACGCACAGAAGCCATAAGGAATAATACATGACTGTTGTTATTTGAAGACAGTAAATTTGGGGGTAATTTGTTATGCTACAATAGATAACAAGGACAGAAACTCCAGATAATGATAGCAAATTATCATATATTGTAAAGAGATATTTTACATAATAAATCTAATCCGCACTTCTTAGTGCTGCATAAGAAAGAAAGATTTAGCAAATTCATAGAGACAGAAGGATTGGTAGTTGGAGGGTGGTTAGAAAGGGAAATGAGGAGTTATTGCTAAATGATACAGATTCTTTTGGGAGTAATGAAAATTTTTGAAAATAATGGTGATGGTTACACAAAATTGTTAATATAATATTAAGTGGCATTACCTCTGAAATCTATACTTTAAAGTGGTTAAAATGGCAAATATTATGATTATATGTATATTCATCAATTTTTAATCCTTCCCCTGCCAA